TAGTGTGTGGGAATGGGAAATATACCTGATATAATGTCATGGTGTGGTAAATAGACCTGATATAGTGTGAGGGTGTGGAGATTAGACCTAATATAGTGTGAGGGTGTGGGGAATAGACCTGATATAGTGTGAGGAAGCGGGGAATAGACCTGATATAGTGTGTGGGAATGGGAAATATACCTGATATAGTGTGATGGTGTGGGGAATAGACCTGATATAGTGTGTGGGAATGGGAAATAGACCTGATATAGTGTGAGGGTGTGGGAAATAGACCTGATATAGTGTGAAGGTGTGGGGAATAGACCTGATATAATGTCATGGTGTGGTGAATAGACCTGATATAGTGTGAGGGTGTGGAGATTAGACCTAATATAGTGTGAGGGTGTGGGGAATAGACCTGATATAGTGTGAGGAAGCGGGGAATAGACCTGATATAGTGTGAGGAAGCGGGGAATAGATCTGATATAGTGTGTGGGAATGGGAAATAGACCTGATATAGTGTGTGGGAATGGGAAATAGACCTGTGCATGTTGATGTTGGGATTTTATACATTTCAGAAATGCAAAAATGGAAAAATATTATTATCATTCTTAAAATGAGTACAGCAAGTGAAATTGAAAGTATTGTAATTGCCATATAATGGGCTAAGAAGGAGACCAGGTCAAATTTTCATTTTCTGAGTTTCAGTTTGATGATAAAATATCCAAAACATAATATTTTGAAGAAATTTGGTTTATTTATAAACATTACCCTGTTATACTGTGATATTATTTCTGTGAATTTATTACAAGGGTGAGTAACATTCTGTTAACTAGAGAGTATAGACACTGTCATGTTTCGTTTGTCATCTTCTCGCTCCATATTATCACTTCAGCGGAAATCATAGTTATTGCATTTTATGGCTTGCTCTGCCATTTTTATCCTGTCAATAAATGTAACTTTTCGTTACTTTTACGTTTGACATTAGCTATTAAAGGTGTCATTTTGTTATGTTATCATCTGCGCTTCCCGTTCTTTTTACCTAGTGAGCTGCGTATCAACAGTTATAAATAAATAATAAATATCTATGAGACATGTCAGATGAATTATTTCACCTTACGGCCCATTTAGCATGTGTTTTAACTTTACAAACCAAATTTACACTTGCATTCATCAGTTTCAACAGATAGGGTAGGTTGTCAAAGGCAGTTGTTTGGCAACCGTTGATGATCAAAATTAGACTATTGTACGCCTAGCCTTGCATCTTGTATGAGGCTTAATTTCTCATGTCGCTAATGAGCAGTTGAACAAAAAGTTTGTGAAAGGAAGTGCAAATGAGAAGATTTACATATCAAAGCCACATTAGGGCCGTGTTTTTAATGGCCTAGTATACGGGTGTAAGTGCAATAACTAGAATTAGAGAAAGAAAAAACTAAATTGCATGATTTTTTTTTTCATTTGCTTGATCCTCTTTGATACCGATGGAATATTAATTCGAGATGCAGCAGCGGAGATCAAAAGAGTGCAGCTTAAATCGGGTTAACATATGCTACTGTCTTTTGTATGGAATGTCAGAAAAGAGAAAAAAGGAAGAAGCCAAATCCATATGGAACAGTTGGCCTTAGAAGGCTAGTCCTTGGTCAACAATTAGGCAAATCATGCAAAATGGTGAGGTGAAAAGCGACAGTGCTTTTGTGCGTAACCATTAATCTGTGTTCTCATAAAAAGGGAGTATAATTAGGTCAACAGATGCCACCACAATTAAAGTGTACGGGCGGTTGTCTCACGTAATAATGACGAGAATACCGCCTGCCTACCTTTCTCTCACCCACATCAAATATTTAACAACGGCATCTTTATTATCATGCTCATTTTTTTTTTGTATCGCGTTTCACTGCATCAAAGTGTGTTGCGTTTCATTAAAATTTGCATATATTATTATGCTCATGATTCATAGTATAATGGTAATCAGAACTAATTTGTATGGTAAAACAAATCATTTGGGTGGGTTTCAATGATTTGCATTGCTCAACATTTCAATTACTTCGTAATATACACATACTGCACGTTAGAAAATAAAAATAACTTTTTCAATAGTTTGCTGCGTATTATTTTTATTATTAATTTTTTTTTTTACTAATAAAACAAAGTAAAGACCTGTATAAAATAAAAGATCTTTTCATTTTTTCCATTGACCTGAGATCTGCGATGCCTCAAGGGGGAACAAGTAGTCATATACATATATTTTTGAGGAATAATTTAATTCTTTGTGAGTTGTTAATGTTTTAAAGTAACCCTCTCAATCTGCCCTCTACCAATAATCTGATATTTGATTTGTCTGAATCTAATATCCCGAGTCAAATCAAATACCAATATAGGCTTGTAAAACCAACACTTTGTCACCTCATTGTCAAAATTTGATAATAAATACAGTTGCTATTGTCATAATTTGAAGAAAAAAAATATCCACTCATCAAATGCTCCATTTCTTTTATTTATTGATTCCCCTCTGCTCATCAGGATTTTAAAGTGGAATAAAGAGGGTACATAGCTGTTATACCTATTGTTATAATAGTATCACCCAGCTATTGAAAACAATAAGCTTTATAAATACTGGGGACACCAATGACACCATACGTATGCATATCAAACTGGGGGTAAAACTGCCATTATTACAATGTGCTCTCTATCTACATTATTTAATAATAAAAATTTAATTGTAAAACTGTACAATAAACTTAATATTATATATTTAAAAAAAAAAATCAGATTTCAACACTAATGGCATGACCCCAGCGTGTCCCTAACTCCATCTGCTGTTTGCATATATATAATTACTTTTTTTTTTAATTTCAAAATGTAAAGACAATCAACGAAACTTGAAACCCTTTGAAACGCTTCATTAACATCACCATGGTAATTTGGCATTTAAAATTCAGTTTTATTACCTTACTTAATTTTTAATCATTCCCTGGCTTGCGATTTGCATATTCCTTTGTCTTTTATTTCTTTTGTCAATTTCACTTGTGACATTAATCAAAAGAAAAAATTATGACTCTACCACATGCGCACATGCGTAATTATTGTCTGATGTTTATATATGAAATATTGATTCATAATCTCTATGCTAATTTGAAATTCATTTTTTTTCCTCTTATCATTCCTTTTAGCTTCAGAAGCAATTAAATTTCTATGAAAAACACAATGCTGTGTTAACTGATCAGCTGTCGACATTACGAAAACACAGTATGCAGGTTGATGTAAGTTTTCTTTACTTCTTATGAAATTGTTTTTACTGTTGTCCTTTTTACAAATGTGAATATACATTTAAATTTAAAATAAACATAGTAATCGTAATTTTGTGTTTTACAAAGATAGTTACTTTCAGGTTTATAAACTTCTGAGGTCAATGAGTCATGTGACTGTCACATGATAGTATATAACCAATCAGAAGTGAATAAACTATATTAATCATTAACATATCACATGATAGAAGTTAGCCAATCAGTGACAAAATCACTGTTGCTATCACATGACAGTAGTTAACCAATCAGAAAAGTAGACACTACTTTAATTTTTAATGATTTCACTTCCTTCTTACAAAGTTTTTTTGAAATTTTTGTTTCAATCTTAGGCTTTGAACAGTAAGTTTGATAAAGCCCTCGTCCAGGTTGAGGAATTACGAAAAGAGAATGAAAGACTGCATACTGAGAATGCTGGCTTAAAAGCCGATGTTGAAAAATTACAAACTTATGAAGGACGATGTGAAATTCTTTCCATAGAGTTGAAAGATGCCAATCAGAAAAACAAGGAGTTAAAATTTAAAGCAAGCAAGTTGGAGAAAGAACTTGCAACGGCTACCTCTGCCAGTCAGGACAGCTGCCTTGACAAGGATAAGTTGAAGAAAAGATTACTGCAGTTGAACCTAGAAACAGAAGCACAGTCTAAGAAGGGAGAGTTGCAGCATCAACAGTTGAAGGATTTTCAATCGCAGTTAATGGAAAAAGATGCGCAACTCAGAGTGGAGCAGGAAGAGCGTGAACGACTACTTGTTCTTGTCGATACCCTGAATGAAGAGTTAAGACGAACTCGCGATCTTCTTGATCACCGACAGCAAGAACAACCACCAATCATAGAGAAGCAAAGTTTCAAGGAGTACATCCGAATGAAAAGGGAGATGGTGTCGCTACGAGAGGAAAACAACATGCTAAAGGGCAGAAAATCCAAGCATCACGCCCTGCCTAGATTGAAAATAGAATCTCCGGAAACAAGATTTCACAGCACAAACGGCTCAGCTGAATCTAAAGATCGCACCCAAGTGTACACCAAGGCACATGCGCCAGTCTCATACACTTTTAACCCATTAAGCAAAAAATGACATCTCGTTGCTGGTCTTATTAATGTAGTTCACATACTTTTTAGGTAGGTAGGGGAAGGGGAAATGTAAATAGCCAGCGTCCTAATTATCCTTCTATTTATCCTTCATAACCGGAAAAAAATCAGTTGTGGAATTGTTTATTATTCCAACAACCTCCAAGACAAATTTTTTTTTTGACAAAGAGTAAATTATCTTGGTGGTCATAATTGGCTGTAATACTAATCCTTCGTCGTAGCATGAGCCAACTGTACCCAGTCTCAGGTTCTTTAATGAATAACACTGTAGTCAATGCGATTCACATGGGGAGACATTTAAATCACTGAACATTATTAGTGTTTATAAGTGTAAATAATACAAAGGATATGTTGCTGAATACTACACATATGCATAGGGCATAACAAAATCATTTTGTTTCGCCGTCTACTTTCTTAAATTCCCGAGCTCGGCCAACCGTTAAAGAGGAAAGGGCATCTACTGCGTTTCTCTCTTAAGAACTGAGATGTGAATGAAATTTTTTTTTTTCATAAAAATGATTTGCTTGTGTGGGTACAGATTGAATTGCTCTCCTAATGAGAACCGTTTTTATGTTGAAATCAACCCTCAAGCAGTTTTTAAAAAAAAAGTCAAAAGAAAAGACAAAATGAGAACTAGCTTCAGTACACATGGCTGAGTCAAAATAGAAAATCAAGAACAGCTTTTGATGTGTACCCAGTACGCCGATGAAGATGATGATAAGGATGATAAAAGCCACAAGTAATTTTTTACTAGAGATGACAGTTCCCCAAAGGTGTGTAAGAGGCAGCCTTTAGTTAATACAACGGTATTAGATAGCTCTTGTATCGTGCTGCTATTATCTAGCGCCTTTCAACATGCATATTATCATTGTGTGGTTACTGTTGAGATGGACAAAGGTGCTGTGGGGCTCCTGTAATGCCTGAGCCCTAATTAGCACATCCAGAGTTGAGATCCTTTGTCAAACCAATGTGTACTATTACTTTTAAGCAGTTAACTGATTCTTGGCTCGGAATAAAACACATCAACAAAGTGGCTTGGCCTTTGTATATAATTGCAAATGGCTCCTATTGTCTTCGACTTTCCCCCGGTCGGCAACGCTTCCACAAACCAGCCAAGATAATTTATCTAAATGACACTACTTTGTAAATCTATATTTCAAATTGGCGTATTTTTTGTATAATCATCTTTACTTGTCATTAAGGAAATCTTGTGCTCACTCTTCCTCCCGATTCATCCCCCTATTCTGATTCTCGTAATGGCATTCACCCGGAAGGGGAATAAGATCATCCCTAAGACTACGTCATCAGTTAATACTGCTAGATGTATATTTGATTAGCATATCCGAAAGATATGAATATTTCACATCTTTAATCGACCAACATTGAAATTAACTGAATAAAACTGGCACATATTCACAGTCACACCTTTGGAAATTTTTGTATTTGCGGCATTTTAAAAAGGTGGGACTATGAAAGTTTCACATTTAGCAGGTCCGACTAAACATTTCTGTTCTTCAAATTTTCTGTAAAACCAGAATACAAGTCGGCAATATTGGTTTTATTGTTAAATTGTTATTCTTGGCTCTTCACCTTTCACCCAATCTTGCTTTTCTGCATATCCTTGAAACAAAGCTACATGTTGATTTCACATTGTTTTATGTCATGCATAAATTTCAATAAAATAATCACATAACTCTTGGCCATTCTAGAATGATTTCTCTTGGGCAATTTAATTGATACAAGATTCACTTTTTTTTTTTACTTTTTTTGAAGGTCTTAGAAAACACCAGGGTAATTGTGATTCAAATTAATTCTTACAGAACTGCTTTATTGTCTGTGTAAATAAAAGTGTCCATTGAAATTGTTTATATTTTGATTGTGACTTCTAAAAATATTGTGTAAACTGTTTTAATATGATTTTGTGAAATGAGATATTGACAACATGATCTGTTTTTATCACACATTTGTCATATTTGTTGGAAAGTTCTGAGCCTGTGTAGGGCTGAGGAAAGTTGTGAGCCTATGTAAGGCTGAGGAAAGTTCTGAGCCTATGTAAGGCTGAGGAAAGTTCTGAGCCTATGTTAGGCTGAGGAAAGTTCTGAGCCTGTCTAGGAAGCCTGTAATTCATATTTATGCAATGACATTTTTTGTTTTTTATGTTATTATTGAATTGAATAGCCAATTTCAAGTTCACAACTGTGGAATGTGAAATGTATTTTCCCCAATTTCTAAATACATTGATATGCCTATAATTAAGAAATACTACAATATGTGTGTGTGCTGGAATCTACCCAAATTACTTTAAGTTTAGTCAGTTGTGAACAAATCATTTGTTGATGGATGTCCTGATTTGTATTGCAAACTAAAATTGGTTTCTTTGGTGTTCACTTGTGTGTAGGAAATGGTTCCATGTGTCAGCGATATCAAACGACTTCAATAGATTTGTCTAATTTTTGTGTATCATATTGTGTTTATTTATAATATATAATAATAATATTAATTCTGTAGTACATTTAAAACCAGGGATTTATATGTTTAGGATATGCGATATGCAAATTGAATAAGTCACCTGGATTGGGATATAATCACCAAAATCTCAAGAAAAACCTATATTTTTAAAAATTTTATTCTGTAAAAAGAATTGGTTTGAG